GAGATCATTCCTGGTTCTGGTTCTAAAGCTGCCATCTTGCCCATAGAAAAACCTGCCCCTGACCAGACCAAAACTGACCTGTCCACCTGTCCCGATCCAGTTCAGGAATGACTAATCTACCTTTCCCTGGCCAGTCCAAGATTGACCTGTCCATCTGCCCTTGACCAGCTCAGGAATATAGTTCTAGGCAGGAGGCACTGGACCAGATATCTACATAGAAAGGATTCCCCTTCCTTCATAACCGGCCTTCCCTGGTGCCCTCAGAACTGAGGCCTGGTGATACAGAGGGAGGGTACAGGAAGATAAGGGCTGTTAATTGTCAATTGGAAAGAGACCTAGGTCCCTTGTACCCTAAAGCAGTGAGACAGGGCTAAATTAGACTTTATCTTAGCCCTGAGGGGCTGTGTTTCGATGTGAAGCAAATGAATGAGCAAACAGTACAGTGAGAAGGGCCAGGATACAGGGAGTCCCCTAGGACACAAAGGCGGCACCTAGCTTTATGGAGTCAGGACAGCTTCCTAGATTTCAAGGGCAAGTCAATCAAAGGAAAGGATGATGGCAGAGAGCATGGATGGCTGGACTGTGAAAAAGAAGCAAAAAGTGAAAAGAACTGTGAGGTCATAAAACAGAATAATGTCTAGAACAGGAAGAAACAATAGGAGCAACTCAATAGGAGCAATCGAATGAGGGAAGGTATGGAGTGTGGCTCAGTTAATAGAGTGCTTGCCTAGCATGCACGAAGGCTTGGGTTTGATTCCCATCATCAAATAAACTTGGTGTGGCAGTGCACACTTGTAGTCCCAGCACTCCAGAGGCAGAGACAGGAGGATCAGAAGTTTCAGGTCATCCTCAGCTACATAGTAAATTTGAGGCTAGCCTAGGCTACATGAGACCCTGTCTCAAAAGGGAAAAAATGAGGTGGTGAAAAATGAAAAGGAACAGATCAGCAGAAATATTTCAGGCGAGGCTTCAGGGTATCATCGTTTCCCTATGCAGTCAGAGGATTGCTGGCCTCAGGACTAGGCTGCCTACCTGCCACTATGGGATGTAGGGCCTTAGAAAGACTCCTTTTCTGTCTTCCCAGATGACCTTGGAGGGCTAGGCTTCTCTCTTCATAGCCAGACTTCATAGGCTCTCTCTGTCCTCATTACATAGAAAGGCTTGCCTCTCCTGGGGAAAGTTCTGGGATGGAGGCAGTGCAGCCCAGGATGCTCAGGCTGCGGCCTCTACTTCCTGATGCTGCTCTCTCCCAGCTATCAGTTGACTCTGTTGATAAACCCAGTCAACTCAGGCCTATTCTTGATAAGCCCTCAGCTGTACTAAACATACCTAGCAACTTCCTCCACCCCAAACACGCTTCTTCCTCCCTTTCTCCTTTCTTTCTCTACTACCATAGCAATCCCTTCATCCTGCCATTTGGGTCTGTGAACATAAGTCCGTAGCCCGCTACCATTTGTTTCCCCAGCCAATTCATACTATTCACCTGCCCAAGTGCCTCCTTGCCCTGGGCCAGGGAGAGACACATCTGAGGAGCTTCCCTGTAGGATCATGACATTCACAATCCTATGTTCCATAGTGGTAGGTAAGCAGGAATTCTCTGGTCCCACAGAGAAAGTTTGGCACCCCATGACCTTGCCTGAAGTATCTCTGCTGATTTCTTTCCTTTTATTTCTTACCACTGGTTTTTCAGTTTGTTTTTGTTTTGAGACAGTGTCTCTTGTAACCCAGGTTAGCCTCAAATTCACTCTGGGTTAACACTATTCACCTCCCAATTTAAATAATCAGCCTGTTTACTATGTGTCTTGATGTTCACTGACCCCTCCCCCAGAATGTAAGTGCCACAAGGACAGTGATCATTGTTTTGTTCAATGGTGGACCCCCAGCCAATAGAACAATATCCCAGGAGGTGCTCCATAAATGCTTATTAAATGAGAAAAGGCAGCACTGAGTTGGAGGGGCCCACCCTGAGAACCCCCAAGGGATCAAATAGTCCATATGCAGTGACCTCCTCCAGATCCACAGTCCCTGCCTCAAATTCCATTTCTGAGACTCCAGGGAAGCCCTCTCAGGTGGTAAGGAACCTGCTTGCCACAGGCCTTCACTGGAGCCTCCCAAAGTCTTCAATGTTCCTTCTCTCTGAGCTCCCAGTCCTCAAGAGCCAAGCGTAAAGAGGCCCCTCTGTGAGGCCCTGAAGAAAATCCCAGCACTTGGGAGGCAGAGGCAGGCGGATCTTTGTGAGTTCGAGGCCAGCCTGGTCTACATACTGAGTTCCTGGACAGCTGGAGCTACAGGGAGACCCTGTCTCAAAAAGACAAAAAAAAAACAAAAAAGAAGGGACACCCAAAAGGGGGCCTCCTTCCTCCCTACCAGCCTTGCCCTGAGGGTAGGGACTTGATCCCACTTTCTAATGTCCCCCATTATCAGGCTCCAGGGTACAAAGCGCAAACATAAAGTCCATAAAGGCCCCTTTGTAAAACTTTTATTTAGAAATCTTCCCCATATAAGCTTATATATGTACACACACCATCATCACCACATTTTTTTTTTTTTTTTTTTTTTTTTTTAAAAAAAAAAAAAAAAAAAAAAAAAAAGAGGACGAGGCCTCTGGGCTCTACAAACGTCAAGGTACCCAGAGAAGTTACTCCTCTTCTGCAGAAAAATGCAGAGACCAACACAGTTCATCACATACAGTACGACACTGACGGAAAGTGCTGGGCCTGCCCACAGACACAGCGCACAATGTACATAGGCTGGGGCAAGCCTTCGGCAGAGGGTCATGTACCATTGGGATCCCAAGTACGGCTAGACCCAACAAAAGGCTGAAATAGCTGTCGGCTGACTACAGTTGCTGTGCCCTTTGTTTTGTTTTGTTTTGTTTCGTTTTCTGGAAAGGGATAAAGGTTGTACCATCTTGTCATTTGCCGCCACAAAAACAAAACAGGAATTCTTCAAATGTGTGATTCTTTCGGCCATTACAGTCATCTTTGTTCTCCTCAAAATGTTTTCTTACCTTTACATTTTTCTCCTTTTGTACAGATACTATTCTTGGAATGTTGCCATTTTTTTCAAGGGCAAGGAGGAGGCAAAGAAGGAGAGGGTGATGGGCATGGAAGGTGAAAACAGAATGTGAGGTCTTGTTCTTACAGAGACCTAAAACCTGACCCTTCCCTGTCCAGACCCTTCCAGAACTGCTGACAGTATATAGAAACTGCCTGTGTTCCCACTCTCAGGAGCCTGTCCCTTGCCATGGAATGAGGCAGAAATTAAGATTAGAGATAGCGCAGGCAAACATAACCTGAATTCATGACCTAAATTACCCAAATGCCAACTGTCCAAAGCCTCAGTTCTGGCTGAAACCTCACTGTAGGGCTGGCACTGAGGGCCACAGAGCTTCGTTTGTGTCTGTGATGGGGATGGAACCTAGGACTAGCTTCATATGTACTATGTAAGTACTCTACCACTGAGCTATGACTGCAGTGCACAACAGAGGTCTTTATGGACTTGAACTTCACTTTCTCGATTGAAATCAGCCCATACCACCTAGGGTATTTATACTCATGACACTGCAAAGCTGAGAAAGGGAACACAATTTAAGCTCCCAAGAGATGTGTGATCCCTCATAAAATCTACCCACCCATTCACACATCGACATTTTTTTCATTCCCAAGTCATCAGTCCACTGGGGAAGCAAAAACGGCCTTAGAGCCCAGGGTAGTTGTTCAATTTTCACACAAATCAGAGTCCTTGGACCCAAGCAGCCAACCCTAATGTTCATGGAAATGTGTATGCTAAAGGGGTGTGAAATGAGATGGAGAACAGCAAAGCTTCAGTGGCTAACCATAGTGTCACCATGCCTTGGGGACCTTAATACTTATAGGAAGAGAAAAGAAGATCATCCCCTGTCTGCATAAGTCTGTAATCAGGCCCCATAATGGTGGGAACAAGCCACTGGGATGAAAGTTGGTGAATGATGGGCTCTTAGATGACAGGATGGGGCCTGTGGATGTTTTCCCACTGGCTCAAAGGCAGAGCCTGGAAAGAGAGATCTGGGTGACATAGATACAATGACAGATACATAGGACATCTGTACAGTTTGTTCCATGTGCTTAGCATTCACTGCAGGCAGGCTTAACCTTAAGAAAACCTGGTCCCACTGCCTGGATTAACACAGGAGAAAAACAAGAGGTCAGTTGTCCACACTACGAAAGGATTCTCCACTTTACAAAAGGACTTGTAGTAGTTATTTCTTTAAAAGATGAAGGAGAAGGATTTGATTTACAAAAATTTCATGTACAACTTTTAGAGAGGGCACTTGTGTTGTAACCAACCTACCATGCACAACCCTGGGGCGGGCAGCTGCACAACGGAGATGTACTTAAGGTTGTGCTGAGCAAATATGCATGCCCAGGTCTCAGCCACAGCCTGACTTCTGCTTGGACTCCCTTACCCTACCAGGAGGCTGCATTCTGGATTGTATCAAGGCCTACAGTTTCCACCAATAACTGAAGTCAAGCAAAATCCCAAATAAAGTATTTATAGGACAGTTTGTACTCCATTTGGAAACCCAGACCATCAACCAACAGATACCTGGCAGCAGGAAGCTCCCTCTAAGCCTCTAGGAGAAAGCCCATGGGTGGTATATGCCCAGCACTAACATGCATCAGCACACTGCCATTTGTTCCCCTGCATGAACAGTGATGTCAGAAGTTAAAGCCCAAAGCCCCAAACACTCTTGCTCAATTTCATTCTAAGGTCATTTTCCCTTTCTGTGCTTATACTCAAAGCCCCACAGAATATACTCAAGGCTGTTTACTGGGTCCCCAGAGCCACAAGATAGGAAAGTAAGTCTCTGTGGGGAGAAAGTAGAGTTCTGATTGCCCAGAGCAAGAAAGGCTGCTGGGTTTTCTGGCCAGCTAGTTGAAAGCAAACTGTCTGTCCACTGTTCATCTTCTCAAACCAGGCCCTGAAGAAGGCGCCTTGAGGCTTGACTCTCCGCACAGCTGGGTAAAGATGGGGCTCAAGAAATGGGCAGCTCTTGGGTACCTATATAATTGAATAGAAGCTGCCACAAAAGCCACCCCAGCCAGCTCAGGAAGGGTTTAAAGGCAAGGCAGAGGCTGCTGGCTACCTTAGGTGACTGCTGACAGCCCCAGGTCTTGTCCAAACAAGGCTCACAAATTCTAGGCCAATAACACTGACACTTGAGCCTCTTAATTGGGAAGTCTTGGGGGTTCAGGGAAGGGAGGAGACCGTGCCATCTTCAGAAAAAGTACCTACCACTTCACGCCATTTTCCTGATCTATTTCCAGACAGGAAGCAAAAAAGACAGCCCAGGATCAGTTAGGACTTCCCAAAGTTCAGACTATAAGGGAAGTTCATCAAGTTCATTGCCCAGCTTCTCATCCCACCTGCCCTGCAGCCCAGCAGCCCAGGGGCCTCAGGGCCTCTACCTGCTGCTGGTCCTGGGCAGCTGCAGACGCATCACCGGGGACCAGCCCCATCAGTGGCAGGCAGCAGGGCAGGGTGGAGGCTACGGGCCGTGTGCTTGGGTGCTGGCTCCTCCGTGTAACTGTCCGGGCTGGCTGCCCCATCCAGAGAGCTGCCACAGCTGGAGTTAGGGGAAAGCACGTCCTGCAGAAGGTCTTCAGGGGGCATGCCACCCCCTGTCCCACCCCCACCAGCTCCCACCACAGGGTCTTTGCCAGGCTTGGCCCGCTGGGTGCCTTCTTCCTCCTGGTCATTGAGCAACTTGGCGAGGAAATTGATGTACTTCATGGCTAGGCGGAGTATCTCATTCTTGCTGAGCTTCTTGTCTGGAGGGTGAGTGGGGATCAGCTTGCGGAGCTCAGCAAATGCTCCATTCACGTTCTGCTGCCGCCATCTTTCCCGGGTGTTGGTGAAGATACGCCGCACAACTTTGGTGTGAGGACCTAGGAGTAGAAGGACATGGGTTAGAAGCACAGGTGGAGACCGTCAAAGGACTCCTCCACTGAGATGCTCAGGAGCTAAAGGCAAGGCAGACTCATCTTCAGGTCCAGTTCATACATCATCTCTGAGCTCTTCCTGTATCCCTTCATCTCTATCTAACCAACCCCACAACCCTACCCCCTTCCTGTCCCTCACTTTCCATGAATGCCATCTGTGTCTTTCTATGCTGGGCCTTTTCACTGAGATGTGGGGTATTTGAGGACAAGGACCATATTCATTCAGTCACTTGTGCCCAAGAGGCCTTAGAATGTTAGAGGAGACAACTGAGGCCAGACTGTCTGTGCTTAATTCCTGGCCAGCACTCCCTTGAGAAGTGCTTCTGGGCAGGGCACTGAGACATCTGTGTCTCAGCTTCTTCATCTGCAAAATGAGAATAGTACTAGTAAGTCAGGTCACAGGTTGCTACATGGCTGATACATCACAGGTAAAGTGCCTACATTAACTACCTCTACTTGAACATTCACTGAGCTCTTACTATCTGTTCACCAATTATTCACTAACAACCAACACTGTGCTAGGTATTAAATAATAGTGAAGAAGACAACAGTCTCTGCTCCCATAGAGGGTTTATTTAGAGCTTTTTTTTTTTAATTGAGACGAACTCACTATGTAGACTGGGCTAGCCTCAAACTCAGAGAAATCCACCTGCCTCTGTTTCCCACATGTTGGGATTAAAGCTATGTGCCATCATACCTGGCCCCATTTTAATGGAAATGAGAAGTGATGAGAGGTGATGAGCAAGTAGCAAACAAATTAAAAACAAACAATAGGGCTGGAGAGATGGCTCAGCAGTTAAGAACAGTGGTTGTTCTTGCAGAAGACCCGGGTTCAAATCCCAGCACCCACATAACAGCTAACAACTGTCCGTAACTTCTGTCCCGGGGATCCAACAGCCTCTTCTGTCTTCCGAGGGCATTGCATGACATGGGTGTACTTACCTACATGCAGGTAATACACGCATACACATAAAATAAAAATAATAAAATATATTTTTAAAAAAAACAAAAAACAATAAACAAAGAGCTAATCAGTAAGTAAGAGCTTAGCTAAGGTGGCAAGTAAAAGGCCTTTCTCAGCAGTGGTGTTTATAAGCAAACAATAAAGGTTAAAGCAAAGCCATCCAGACACAGACAGGGAAGAAGACTGTCCAGACAGAAGTTAGGGCATGTGCAAAGGCACTGAGGTAGAAAAATGGCTGATGCTAGCCTGGCTGGAGTAGTCTGCATGACAGCAGAGTAGGCAGGGTCCAGATCTCATAGGGCCCTACAGACAGGGATGGAAATTCAACTCTAGGGGGTGACAGAAGTACAAAGTAGAGGCTTAGTACTTGTTTCCTAAGTGACCAGTGATGGAGGCAGGTGGGAGAATGGAGGGAAGAACAGAGAGCAGAAGGGAAAGGAATGACCCTGTAGGCCCCCATTTTCCGGAAAGGAATGGAGAGACAATCATGCCCAGCCACAGCCTGAGGTTCTGAGAAGGCGCCAAGGATTGCCTCAGTCTCCGCATGCTTACAATGCCCAAAGCTTGACCCAGTAGTCATTATCATGTTGGTACTAAGACTGCCAGGCAGCAGCAGACACCAGTGCATATGTATACAACCCCTACAGTGTGCCAAGTGTTCAAGCCTGACTTGAGAGTTAGAGCCAAGGATGATAAAAGAGGGTTCTACTAGGGGTCCTGAGTCTCTGGGCTGAAGACAATGCTTATTCCATACATGAACCCCCACCCATCCCCCCCCCCCCCCCCCCCCCGACAACAACAACCTTCAGGAAGGCTTTGTATAGAGAAGAGACTGCCAGGCCTGGAGATTCTACTTATCCCCTTCCAGTAACCACTAGGTCTAGAGTCAGACTGGGGAGTGAAGAGAGAAGACAAAGGCTAGGGGCTCACCCAGGTCCACTGTTCAGTTTATGGCTAAAGAAGGAGGCCAAGACGGAGGCAGTCTTGCCTCAGTGTTCAGTCTGGGACTCATCTGTCCAAGTGGACTCCACACATTTGTCTCCTTCTCTCGTTTGTGTGTGCCTAAACCTACACCCCAAGTTTTTCCCCAGGAGATCCCTCAGCCCCTTCCCTGCCTGTAGTTCCCCTGAAGCTTCCTTCAAATCCCACACATCACAGCCTAGAGGTTCTGCCCAAGGCCCAGACCTGGCTAGGAAAGAAAAAACATCACACACCTGCTCTGCTGCCTGCTGCCACGTTTTCCCCCATCATTATGGACTCCTCTTCTGGAACCTGAGCCAAAATAAACTGGATAGGCCTACCTTGGGCTGCCTCAGAGGAAGCAATCTGATGTTCCTAGACCTCTATGGCCAAACAGAGGGATCTGTCAGGTGTGACACAGCAGGACTGGTCCTAGTACCATGGTAATACTGATGAGCTGGTAGGAGCTCCTAGTTGGACGTGGGGGCATTATGACTGTTGTCACAATGAAAGCCAGATGGACTCTGGTCAGGAGAGTAGAGGAAGAACCCAAAATTTATTCCAATGCTTAAGATCAGTGCTACAAGGAGGGTCCAGGACTCAGCCGTGCGGCTTTGAGCAGGTTGCTAACCCTCTGAGACTCCATTTCCTCATCTTTGAAACAGAAACTATATTAACATCATGGGTTTGTGTTGAGAAATTAAAACAAAATTAAGCATACAAAGTCTGATGCACATAGTAGGTGTCCAGCAAATGACAACGATTGATGTTCCCCATCCTCCTTCCCACCTTTGGGGTGACTGCCTGAGAGCGATTAGAAATGTGCTGCTGCTAGGAGTATGGCTGCCAATAATCCAACACAGAATCCCTGTTGAGGAGGTCCCAGTGCCGGATGGAGAGGACTTCACCCTTCCCTGACAGCTTTCTGACAGGTAGGAAATGGGAGGAGAGTCAGGAGCACCCACAGGACCTCAGAACCTACCTGGAGCTGGAGAACCCTATGCTCCAGAAGCACCTGTCACCTTTTCCTCTTGGCCCTATATGTCTGTGTTCTAGGCTGTTGCAGGTTCTGTGGTCCCTTCTGTTGTCAGACTCTAGGTCTCTGCTCTCCAGAGCCCTCTCTAGAAGCTTGAGCTCTATACCCACACCCACACCCTCTCATAGATTCTCAGCCTCTATCCCAGCTTTCCTCAAGCCTCAATGCCCTTCCTATAGGAACCTCAAGCAGGCAGCAGCAATGAGAGCTCCCATGCTGGGCAAAGTACCTTAGCTGAGGGAGAGCAGGCTTGGGAAAAAGCCTGCTCCACAAGCCTGCTCTCTGGTCCTGGTACCATCAGTCAACCCTGCAGGGCCACCAAATTTCCTCTCATCCAGGCCAAAGAATATTCAGAGTTCACAGCAGTGCTGAGACACTCCCATCCCCAGGTATACTGCCACCAGGATTCTGGAATTGCCACTGCAGATTCCAGAATGTGGAACAGGAGTTAGAGGGATCCCACAATATCCTGGGAAGAAATCTTAAAGGCACAGTTCCAGTCAGGAGTAGATTCCTGATTCCAAAATGTATTTGAGATACAGTACATCTGAGGGTCAGGAGCTGGAGTTGGGAACATGAGGGCTTCTGCCTGCCCCAATCTTTGCCAGAGAATAGGGATGGAGCCTAGACTAGGGGCTAAAGCTGACTCTACAGGTTTGACCTAAGTATCAGGACCCCCTTCATCTAAGTATCCCATGCCCTCTCATCCCAAGATTATGAGTATACCCCCCAGGTCTTATCCACAACTTTACCTACTTCCAACTCAGCTCTGGGGTAAAGAGCTTTGGCAGTTGGGGGTTCCAAGGTGGCCCACCCATCTCTGTGAGACACCTGCATAGTCCCCATGCTCCCTATTCCAGAGGGTTCTAACCAGGGTGAGGGATGGGTGCAATGACAGACTCACCATCAGTAATCTCCATCTCGTAAGGGGAAGGCCTCCTCTTCACCCGGTTGTTGTTGGTGAACATTGGGAAGGCATCAGGCTCCCCAAAAAATCCACTGTAGAAAGAACAGGTCGATCACAAGGGAGTAGAGGACAGAAAGAGGTCTTTTAGGGACCTTCCCTGCATGTCTTGAGTTCTCTCCCCACAAGGCAACCCTGCTCCTTGCACATTTGAATTGCAGATAGGAAAATATACACACAGAACGGGGTGAACATATGGAGCAAGCAAAAATGAATGTGCATGGGTACATGTACACGCAGACCACAGACACACACGTTCTCCCCCTGACACAAGCACACAGTGTTGGCAGACCCCCATCCCTCAAAACCAGGCGTCTACACAGGGAGATGCAGCTGATGGCATGCAACTCCAGTACCACAAAGGGTTTCACAGCGTCTCCTGACAGCAACCTCACCCAACCATCACCCCCACCCCACCTCTCCTGGATGGAGCACAGATGGAAGCCCTGGCTCCCCACCTCTGGACTGCGCTCCCCTGCTGTTCTACCTTGTAGAATTCTTTCTTGCCGCTTCCCCCACCCTGTCTTCCTGCCTCATCTTCCCTCTCCACCTTAACCTTGCCTGGAGGAGTTGCCGCAGCCGCTCAGCAGGGAAGTCGATGCCCTCACAGCTACAATACCGGGTGCCCCAACAATGTAACCAGGGACCGAAGGGCAAGGAGCGGGTTGCAGTGGTCCTCACTGCACCCCAGCAGCGGAGATTCAGAAGGGCTGCGTTCAGCCACCGCCTGCGGATCCTTCTTGCCTGTCCACCCACCAATGCAGCTTCCAGAAGAACTTCACACCCTCTACAACAAACTGAACCTCCGCTCCAGGGGAGCACATTCAGCTCTTGCCTGGAACCCGCACTCAAGGAATCCCTCCTACCCGCTAGCCCTCCGGCACCCGGTGCAGCTTCCCACACCCAGCCGCCTGCACCCGCAAAGGCTTAGGCGGGCATCCCTGGGTTTCGACTCATCCTGGCGCGCCCTAGTCCCGCCGGCCCTTCGGCCACACAGGCTGTCTTGTCTCACCGAGGTCCCCTCTCCCCCTGGCGCCCGCGGGCTCGGGTCACCAGCCCCTCCCGCTCCCGGGGTGCTGCAGGGCCGCTCACCTGCCGAGCGAGGCCAGCGGCTGGCTGAGGCTGTAGAGCAGCGCGCGTCCGGGGCCGGCCGGGACCGCCAGCGCGGGCGGGCTCAGCTGCACCATGCGGCCGTCGCCGGGCAGCTCTGCCGGGGCTGGGGCGGGCGCCGGAGCGGGTCCTGGAGGTCTGCACAGCTCGGTGGTGGGCACCCGATGGCGCGCTTCGGTCGCTGCCGCGTCGCGGCTCTTTAAGTCCCTGGCGGCGCCGCCCCCGCCGGCGGGACCAGCCCCCGGGCCGCACGCGCCCAGCTCGATGACCGCAGGCTCCGCGGGGACCGCGCGGCTCGTCTCCTTGGCGACGCCGTTGAGCAGGACCAGGTGCGGGGGGGCCATGCGGGCCTCGGCCGCGTCCTGTCCCTCCAGCTGTGGGTCACTGCATGCCGCCTCGCTCGGTGGCCTCTCGGTCATCCTGCGAAGGGGTGAGGGGCAGAGAGAGGAACTCACGCACTGAGGCCCGAGGAGCCGGCGAACTTAGCGCCACGTGGATGCACACCCCCACCCTCAGGGCCTGAAGGAACCTAGGGCCTTGGGGGAGGGAGGGGAAGGGGTCTCTGGATTGGGAGGAAGGGTCAGGGCAGGCCTGGGAGACATTGAGGGAGCAGGAACAGAGCTGGAGAAAGATGGCACAGACATTGGAAGAAAAGAAATACAGCCAGCGAAACAAAACCGAAGGGAATAAAAGGAGGAAGGAAACCTACAGAGAAGAAAAAGAAAGATCACCCCGTCCCCCCTTCTCCCCTTCTCAGGCCGCAAGGGAAGGGGAGGGAACATACCGGCGCGACCATATTCTCTCCCCCGCTTTTGTTTTGGCGGGGAATCTGTCAGGCAAGAGCCAGGTGCTTTGGGAATCTCTCTCCTAATCCACTGCCACACAGATGCACCCCATATGGATACCCACAAACCCAAAATAGGGCACAGAGGCTGCAGAAATCAGGATCTGTTCAACCAGAGCTGACAAAAATAATCCAGAGCTAGACCCCCCCCCCCAATATTCTCTGGCCAAGTCAGAGGTTGCCTGCACTAAGCAAATCCCCTGGGTATCTGCAGGCAGCTACTCTACCCTGAGAAGGGCCCTACCACCCTGCACCTTCCACCCCATTCTCTGCCCAGTTGGACTTAGAAATGAGATCAGGTCTAGAAAGGAAGGCTGGTTGTGATGCCAGGAACCCAGATATTCTAAAAGTACTCCTAAAGACCAGCAGGGTCTGTGCTCCCCTCCAAAAGGCACATACATACACACACACACACACACACACACACACACACACACACACACCCTTGGTGTTCTCTGTGAAATGGTCTCACTGTTCACTGGCTTCTCATATATATTCTGGAGCCCAGAAACTTCCTGATAAACACAGCTACCCCACTTCCCATTGGTATGAGGACTTCTTCCATCACCTAGCTTCTCCTCATGGAGCCAGGCCCCAGCAAGAGGCCAGACACAAAATCAATGAGACCCAGGATGCAGAGTTTGATGGTACTTGTGAGTTGTTTCAATTTAAAAAATAAAAATATAATGAACTCAGGAGGTGTGGTGGTACATACCCATAACCCCAGCACTGGTGGAGGAGGAGGTAGCACAGGCAGGAGAATCTTGAGTTTGAGGTTAGTATAGGCTATAGAAGACCCCATGTGACCTGGTGTGGTGGTGCATACCTTTAATTCCAGTACTCAGGAGGTAGAGGCAGCCAGATCTCTATGAGTTCAAGGTCAGCCTGGTCTACATAGTGAGTTCCAGGCCATGCAGAGCTACATAGTGAGACCCTGTCCTCTCCCAAAAGACCCTATCTCAATGTACACATTCATGTATGTGTATACATATATATACATATATACACCACACATATAACATAACCAGGTTGATAGGTTTTATAAATTGTTGTTCAAAATAGTATTTCTGCTTTCAGAATTATATAGTTGAGCTATTTTTATTTTTCTCTTACATTTATCTGTTTATGTGTGAGGGGGTGCATGTCATAGCACTAGTGTGGAAGTCAGAGCTCTCTTTTTCCACCAAGTAGGTCCTGGGGCTCAAACTCAAGTTGTTTGGCAAATGCCTTTACTTGATGAGCCATCTCACTGGCTCAGAAAACAGATACACAGATGTCCAAGTCAGCTTGAAACAACAGTCTATCTAATCACTGGTGGCAGACACTGAGCTCCCACATGGCCACTACAATGCTCTGGACCAGAGTCATCCTGGGAACCATCCCTTCTAATAAAGAAAGGAAACTGAACGTTCCTCATCTTCCCCCAGATCTTAGCTCCAGAGCCATATACACATGGTGACCAAGAAGATTTAGGCTGCATTTGCTATTCTGGGTTAGCCACCTGCCACTCAGTCTGAAAATGACAAAATTCCCCAAGACAAGTCACACAAAGTTGCAAAGTAGGTGGGTCTGTGATACTTCACTGAAATTGAGTTCACAACCACCAGAAATGAACCAGAAGAACAGGAGCCATCCTGGCTTCCCACCCCACTGGCAAAGCATACCAGAAATAGATCAGCCTCTGGTGAAATAAACAAAACAGAGGTGGTCACCCCCTACCTCACTGCTCTCAGTGGCCAGTGTTTCATCCCCAGCTTCTAACAGTAACAAACATGCATGCACTGCAGCAACTGAGCTCAGCTTCCCTGTGACACATTTATACTCCCTCATTAATTCTGCTGCAATGGTAGAAGCAGGTTCCCTAGGGCCACTGGGAACACATACACCAAACGAGTTGACTGTGGCCCTAAATGCCCTCTCCAGATGCTTATAAATATCCCTATCTTCAAGGCTTCCAGCAGAGCTCTCCATGCCTAGCTCTTGGACCTCAGAAAAACCTAGCCCACTCACTTTTAAGGCTAAGTCACCCCAAAGCAGCAGAGGTTAATGCTGCAGGAAAGCCACCAGAGGACTCATAAGTTGACTTGATTCTGATTAAAATTGCTGAGTCTGAATGGCTTTTATGTATTTGTTTATAAAGGGAGGATGGAGAAAGGGGGAGGTTTAGGGCTAGACCAGCTAGCACTAGACCACAGCGTTTGACCATTACATCTCTGTGTGTGCTGCAGAGACCCAGGTTGCAACCCTCAAGTCCTGATCCTCACCCCCAGTTGCCCCAGAGCCAGAATGTGACAGAAGGGGGAACTCCTTCCTGGGCCAGAACCACATCTTCTCCAGTAGCTCCTAACCCCACAAATCCCTGCATGGAGACTTGTTATTCACTTATATTTAGGTGAAATAGCCTTCACCTTAGACCTGGCCTCCTGTCCCTCCTATTGCTCTCATATTCGAAGGACACCCTGGGGGAGCCCAAAGTCGGCACTGGAACGAGATCCACCAATGAAGAGCACACTGTGCCACCACCACGGGAGTGAAGTGCTCCAGCCTGGCTGCCTAGGCCTCAGGCCCTAGCTGGGATGGCTTCCGCCTTCTTCCGCAGGAGTTCCAGGCACACCCTGTGCCACCCGGATACAGCCACAGCAAAGTTACAGACCTTGAGAAATGGACTCCAGACCCTAACCGGAGCGCCCAAGAGGACTAATCCACCCAGATGGTTTTGCCCGACGCCGGAAAAAGAAAAGGGCCCCGCTGGAGGCCCGACGCAGCTAGCTGCACCGGATCCCGAGTTCCCAACTCTGGTTGGTCCACTCCACCCTCGCCCCCGCCCCAATCTAAGTCTGGGTTCCTCTCAGTTCTGAGCCTTCCCCACCCCACTCCGGAACCCCAAATATCTGTTTCCGCAGACATCAACCTTCCAACCCCTAAACTCACCTGGGGCATATTTAGAGAGACTGGCCCCTTTGGCTAGGACCTCCACTCCTCAGATGGATGGAGAGGGGTCGAGGTTGGAACCGGGATCTGCGCTTTCCCTCCTCTCTCTGAGAGGCGAGCAGTTATTTAGCTTTCGGTGCGGTCCTGGGCGGTCTGCCGCGCCCAAAGCGAGTTTCCAGGAAAGATGGGGGTGGAGAGAAAGAGGGAGGGCGAGAGAGAAATGGGGGGTCAATGGCTGGGAATTACCTCCTGTGCCCCGCCAGCCCAGAAAATCGCAACAGCTTTCCGTCCCCAACTTGCAGGTGATAGAGACCCCCTCCCCCACACATCCCGGTAAAAATGAACCCTACACTTGACCAATCAGGAATAACTACTTAGTCCAACAACAACAGCCCCTCCTGGCAGGCCACCCCGAACATTTTAACATTTTCGAACCCTCTAACGGATCTGTCTGGCTCTGTATGGCCGAGTTTGTTTTCTGGGCATGGACGTGTCTCTGCGGTTTGTTCTGCAACCTGAGCCAGGCTATGGCTGCAGCCACGACGGGAAGGGGTAATTCTCTGTCTGAAGCCAGTGGCTAGGACAAGTTGGAAAAGGCAGAGAGTCTTCAGGCCCTGGTCGCTGGGTCAAAACCTGGGAGCCTCCAGCCACTCTCTTCACGACAATCATCTACCCACCCACCTCCAGTCCAAAGCGAAAGCAGGATTTGCTTCCAAAAGCCTTACTTCTCTGCAGGAATGGTGTGTGTGTGTGTGTGTGTGTGTGTGTGTGTGTGTGTGTTCGCGCGCGCGCGCGCGCGCGCGCTCTATTAGGTCCCTTTTCTTTCTAATGAGGCCGGGTAGGGGTAGAAATAAAGGAGGGGATTGCTATACCTTCCCCTCCACCACCCTTACAAAATGATTTTCAGTTTCTTGGGGTTTTGCTGGCAGAAGGTGAGAGTTTCTAACAACGTCTTGCAGCAATAGTATACAAGGCAGAGAGGAAGGAGGGTGAAAATAAACCTGGCATTCCAAAGTCGTGTAGCCGGATTGTTTGCTTTTATCCGCCCCGCCACCCCCCACCCCCGGTTTTAATTTGTTTTGACTAAATCACCCAGTTTCTGATCGCACATCGAAGTCTTGGATTAACTGCAAAGGCTTCGTTCTTTTTACTGTGGCTTTGGTGGAAATATAGTAATAATTCGTCCCTGGGTTTCGATCCAAGGCGGGAGATTTTCTTTCTCCTCGTCTAGTCCAAATGGAGCAGGCAAGTCGGGAGCCCACCCGTTCCCATTGTACTACTTGGGGTTCATGTTTGCTTTATGGCTGAATTTCGATTCCCGGCATCTCTCCATTTTCTTTCCCAACCCCAGGGCAGCAACTTAGAAAACAGAGCTAGGGAGGGGCTTCGACGAGGCTGCGCTGCTTTGTTCTCCCTCCTATGAAGAAGGGACAGCTGCAACGCTTCTGTTCGATTGTTTTAATTAAAAAGGATGTTAATGGTGATGGTTGCGATGACGAAGATATTAACAATCAAATAAACGGAAAAAAACACAATCCTTTCTTCTGGGTTGGGGCAGCACTGACGCCGTCCTTCCAGCGACAGCGGAGGGCAGTCACCGGTGGCGGCGTCTGACCCGAAGGGGAATGGAGCAGGGGGTGGGAAGATGTTCTCCCCACCAGGTGATCTCGAAAACCCCCACCCCTGGTGCCAGGCCTGGAAAGTGTGCCCATTGTCCTTACCTGGCCTCTCCCCCAACCAACGCGGCCGCACCCGCGAAACTGACCAGAAAAAGGCGAAGCTGGAGTACAGCGCGAATCCAAGCCCGCCGCTGCGGGCTGGAAGGCGCTGGCCTGGGCGAGCGCTGTTCACCTTTGAGCTTGGAAAATCCTCCCACTCACCAGAGAACCCCTCCAACATTAGGCAAGGACGGCCCGGCCTCCGGACTGAGCTGCCGCCGAAAGGGATCTGTCCGCCCATCCAAGCCAACACTGGCTCCCGAATACATCATAATTTGGAATAAAATGTGAAGTCCCGCACCCCGCCCCCATGCGACGCCCCCACCAGCGCCTCGATCTCTCGCTCGCCCTCCCCCCACTCCCGCCCCCAGCGATTTGCAAATGCACCTCTAAAGGACACAGGCACACTGGCACAGGACTCATGGTGGACAGGACCACACATGCTAGAGCACCGGAGGATTGAAGCAAACCAGCACAAGCCAACTCTGGCCCACAAGCTGACCCCGGCAGACCCGCACACTGTCCAATATGACACAACGAAATCAGTCACACGCAGTCGCTCACTGACACACAACCTCACACGGTAGGGATCACACACGCCCGACATAACAACGAAGCCCACAAGGCCACACACCCCAACACACAGAACTGATCTTCCTTGGGAAAGGAAACCGAGTAATCACATACAACGAATAAAACGCAGAAGGGCCTCGAAGGGTCCGAATCCACACATGCAAATACCTCAGGCATCCCACTCGGGCACACCACCCATCGCGGAAAGCCCACCCGGGAAGCAGTCACGGTGGCCCACAGCGCTCACACACACTCACAACCCCACCGCATGCACACAACCACCAAGAAGAAATGAAAACCAACTACCGCCTCGCGCATTTCTGTATATTGCGTAAGGAAAAAAAGGGGAAGGAAGGAAGAGAGTCTCCGAGGCGGGAGGGGCGGCGACGGGAGGGCGGGGGTGTCGTGGAAAATGCCCCCCATCTAAAGAACCCCCTTCTGGGGGCCCGGACAAGGAGAAAGGAAATGGGCGAGGGATGCCAACAGGAGGCGGTTGTTGCTTCTCCCCGAGAAGACGGGGATGCTCACGTTTCTGCGCCCGGGGGTGCGCGCGTGGCCATGTTGGGGCCCCCTCCTCGCCTCGAGCCCGCCCCGCCGCGCGGTCCGCGCCCAGCCTCGAGCTCTAATCCCGCCCGGGCCCCCCGCCTCGTTAGCATGGGCCGTGGCGCGCAGGGGCCATGTGCGCCGCCGAGATAAGGCGCTGCCACGGGTCCGCCAGCCCCCGATAAGCGCCTCGGCCATTATGGGCCAAATGATTCGTTTTAATTTGGTAATTTCACCAGAGGGAGAGAGGAATGGTTGCGGGGCGCTGGGACCGGCCCCGGAATGCACCGCAGAGGGAACTGAATGCTGTCTAGGGCCCGGCACGTTCTAGCCCGGTTTCTCCTACCCCAGATTCTCGGGATTCCCGGCCCCCACAAACAGTCTGGTCCTTGGCCTTCTAGACGTTTCTTCAGCGACTTTTGCCCCAATAGTGTCCTTGCCTCTGAAGATTACCAGGACACCCAAACCTACAACCCTCCCTTCGTCGACCATTCTTTCTCCTATGTTCTAGAAACCAGATTTCTACAGGAGGTTTCTCTTTTTCTCATAAAGCCCCCCAGTTCCTCGCCGACCTGTCACACATCAGCGTTAGCCTCTAACTGCTCTAAAATGAAGTAGCTCAAACCCAAGGGGCTCTATGGGAGTTGGGGGGGGCAGAACGAATGTCAATAGAGATGAAAATGTGCTTTCTGCTAGATTTCCGTCCGGCCGAATGCAGAGCCCCTGAACAACGCACTCTGTGCAATGTCTAACACATACTTTGATCTCGCTACTGATGTATTGTTTTAAGCACACTACAGAATACTGTTTAATCGTCATTAAACAGCGCTTGCCTGACCTGTGCAAGGCCCGAGAACGGTTCCATTCCGAGCCCTGAAAAAAAAATTAAACAAATAAATCCATAAATAAGTCCTAAATTGATGCTTTGGGGTTTTATTTTTATTTATCGCTCTACTTTTGGTTTTTTGAGTCAGGGTCTCGCTGTAGCCACAGGATGGCCTGAAACTTCCTATGTATAACAGGCTGGCCTCAATCTCACAGAGATCCACCTGCTTCTGCCTCCAGTGTGCTGGCATTAAAGGCATATGTTACCAAGCTTGGCCTTGGTTTCATTTTTAAATCAGCAAGGTATTGTATCTCATCATGGCATTTGGGAACAAGGTGTGTTTTTGTGGTTTGCCTCATCTCTCCATCCCCTAAATAGGTGTTGTTTTTTTTGTTGTTGTTGTTTTGGTTTTTTTTTTTTTTTTGGTCTTTTTGAGACAGGGTCTCCCTGTAGCCCCAGCTGTCCTGGAACTCACTATGTAGACCAGGCTGGCCTAACTCATCGAGATCTGCCTGCTTCTGCCTCCTGAACGCTGGGATTAAAGGTGTGCACCACCACGCCTGGCTAAATAGGTGCTTTTATTACCCCCAACTTACATGTGAGAAAACGGAGTCACACAGAGAAAAAGTGACTCTCCCAATGCTAAGTTTCTAGAAAGTGATGTTTGGTTTGAAGCCCAGTTAAAGAAAAGTCAGCAGAGCCTAGGTTGAGATGAGGGAACTGGGCTTAGCTCATTGTTGAAACAAAGATCTATACTGCAGGATAGGAAATTCAGTGTCACCTACATGACTGGTGGTTAGCCCAGGAAGGGTCTCTGAGTTTATACTTTCATGATGGGTCTGAAAGACCACAGGGTCAATTTTAGTCACCTAGCTCTGAGCCTCTGTTTCTTCATCTCTAAAACAGGGAGATAATTTCTAGCTCACAAAGTTATGAATATTAAATAGAATGATCTATAAAAGGTGGTAGGGAAAACCAGCTGTGGAGGAACATGCTGTAATTCTACATTTGGGAAGTGGAGGCAGAAGTATCAGAAATTCAAGGTCATCCCCAACAGTATATGGAGTCCCAGGCCCATTTGGGCTATGAAACCCAGTCTCACAAAATAAAAACCAAGAAAAGCTGTCAGTGAAATGCTCAGCCATAAATGGAATATCTATGTCATCACACACCACACACACACACACACACACACACACACACACACACACACACACCAAGGTACAGGGACTATCTAGGAAGGCAGGAGGCAGAAAGATTATAAGGGCCAGAGGTCAGGGAGAACCAAGTGAAACAGTGTTTTCTGGATGTAACAGGAGGGCTGCACTCATGAATTCACAGCAGCCATGGTTGCACAGGACCTGCATAAGATCAAGCCAGTCAATATTCCAACCTGGAGGGAGGACAGACTCATGAGTCCCCAACCCTAAGTGAGGAGCTACTGACAGATGATGACTGCTAGGAAGGGGGTGGGGGGCACAAAGTTGGGAGGGGTAGAGCAATGGGGTGGATCTGGGAGGAGTTAGGGGAGGAGTGGGGAATGAAGATGATTGAAATACATTGTATGAAATTCTCAAAGAATTAATAAAATTATATTTTTAAAAAATTTAAAGGGAGCCAGGCATGGTGGCACAGGTCTTTAGTCCCAGCATTCGGGAGACAGAGGCAGGCATTCTGTGAGTTCAAGGCCTACCTTGTCTACATAGTGAGTTCTAGGCCAGTTGGGGCTACAGGGAGACCCTGCCTCAAAAAGACTAAAAAAATTTTTTTTTAAGAAATACATATTCATGTGGGCTGGAGAGATGGCTCAGTGGTTAAGAGCACTCACTGCTCTTGCAGAGGACCCAGGTTCAATTCCCAGCACCCACATGGCAGCTTCGGATTCCAGGGGAATCTGAAGCCCTCTTCTGACCTCTGTGGCATAGCATGACATGGGTACACTCATGTACATGCAGGCAATACACCCATACACATAAAATAACAATAAATACATATTCATGATCATAAAAACAAACAAAAGAAAATATTTTTAAAGTGGTGAGGAACTAACCTAGCATCCTATGCACTTTCATGGGAGAGCTGGCTGACTTAGAAGGAAATTAACCGGGCATGGTGGTGCACATCTTTAGTCCCAGCACTCAGGAGGCAGAGGCAGGCAGAGTTCAAGGCCAGCCTGGTCTACATAGTGAGTTCCAGGCCAACTGGGGCTACAGGGAGATCCTGTCTCAAAAAAGGAAAAAAAAAAAAAGGAGAAAGAGAGAAAAGTAAATTAAGAGATAGAGAGATGTGACTTGACCAAACTTAGAGAAATCACCCTCTGTTGTCAGTTTCTGTTCTATAACCTACTCATCAAACCAGGCTGCTTTTCCTTCCAGTTGCTCTGAAAACATCTCCTTTTGGAGTTTGAGAACACAGAACCCCACCCGCCACCCCAGTCTGGTCATAAACTGAGACCCAGTCAAGGACTGATCCCAGAGTGTAGTCCCTGTCTGAGTTCTGCCCCTCCAAGATTTCCGGACTGCTGGCTAAAATGGTGTGTAGCTCAGTACACCTGTCCCCTGCGTTCTCTGTACTGCGATGAAACTCCAGCTGCCATGGAGCAAACATCTAACTTCCATGGAATCCCATGGTGGAAGGGCCACTGGTATCCCTAGAAAAATAGTTCATTTCTCTTCCTCCTCCCATCCCACAAAGCCCCTGCCTTTGCTAGACTGCTTGGTTCAATAGAAAGAGTGAGAGGCATATGACTATGAGTTTGAATTCTAGCTCTGCCTCTCATTCTGTGGGGCCCTTGGACAAATCACTTCATATCTAGCCTCTGCACAGAGGTCCCATTCCCATACTGTTTGGAGAGCCCACCTGGGGATGCTTCCTTGAGAAAGCCAAACCTGGACCAAGGATTGAAGTAGAAAGGGGAGTTCACCGTAAGGAACAAGAAAACACTCCAGTACAGATGGAGCAACTGAAGGAGGTTTTTTGAATCATTGTGTTTGCTTTAAGGACATGGAGTCCTATGTAAGACCAGATTTGCTTTTCTAGAAAACCCTTGGGCTGTTGTACAGGGGAGGGGAGGCACACTAGGAGACCAATTCTGGGACCAATGCATCAAACCAGAGGAGTAGGATTAGTTTGCTTTATGGTACCTGCATGCAGAACAGAGGACTGTGTGTGTGTGTGTGTGTGTGTGTGTGTGTGTGTGTGTGTGTGTGAAAGAGAGTGTGGTACCTGCATGCAGAACAGAGGACTCTGTGTGTGTGTGTGTGTGTGTGTGTGTGTGTGTTGTATGCAGTAAGCATATTAAAAC